AATAGATCTTAGCAATAAGCTATTAATACTCATATCATGATTGTTGATCGAAATGAAAAAACATACGTCAATACAAATAAATATTCAGGATTCTAAATCTACTCGATTATGGGATATATCAGTAAACCATGTATGCATTTTCTTATACATCCACCTCACATAGGATATGTCCCAACAGGGACCTACTTTCATTTACTACCCACCAGTGAAGCTTACTTCACATAGGGTATAATCCCTTAATATAGAGTATCAACAAACTATCAAATGAGACAATACTATTATTCTCAACAATGGTATCCTCAAAGAAAATCAAATTATTGCAATATAATCATTCATGGAATTTCAATGTTATAATACATGACTAAATAAACAATTGTATAGTAATAGTTAAACAATCAACAAACAGTCTATGCATGAAATAATTCAAATAGGAATATTATTGAGCAATAAGGTATACTACTAAGCAATAGATATCAAGTTATAGGAATTTCAAGAAAATAATCAATCAAACTTTCAAAGATATGAGAGGGAACATTGAAAGCTTACCTACCATTCGTTCTAGGTTCCTCAGTATTGACAAACGAATCCAAAAGTCTTGCTCTTATATAAATATACATGTATACCCATATGAGATTCTAATCAACTAGGTTTTCATTATTTTCCTGGCTTATAATTTATATCAGGCAATACATGTTATGCTCGATAAGGTAATACTAAACACTTATGATATGTACAAATAGCAAATATAGGTTCATGTTGTAGATTGAGATGGATAGATGGGAGAGAATTGATGTCTAAAATATATAAAACTAGTGTCATATAACTCCTACATGTGTCTAGTTTTTAAGATAAAAACTTATTTACAAACAAATATATATATCTCAAATTATACTTAGAATATATAAGACATAAAAAAAACTATGAGTGCAGCTCATGTTAGCAGATTCAAGTAAACAGATGAGGGGTGCAACAACATCTAAAATTAGTGAAACAATGTTCAAATTATTTCTGTATAAGTAGTCTAATTTTATGACCAAAATGTGATTTAGGCATGCAAGCTACTTAGGGAGAGTTATACTTCTACAACATATAGGGTTAGGGTTGCAGACTTTTGCCAAGAGTAGAAAATAACCACATATCTATCTAGCTCTTTTGGGTGCTAAAGAGAATCAAATTGTAACCATAATTGTCATGTGGGTGCCTTAATAAATCAAATTTTAAATTCTAAACTTTTCTTTACTCAATAATAACTAGAAATTAAGATATATGCAAAACATCCTATGGGCCGATTGTATTTCCTGTGCACATATACTGAATTTAAATATAGTTTTGAACTAGAAAATGATCTCAGAATTGAATTATTAAACAAAATTTAAAGAAAAGCTACAAGAGCCTAGTTTCTAAGGCATAAAAGGTTACTGACATTTGTACGTAGAAAGAGAGTTATGACCTAATTACTAACATGGTAATTTGTAGGAAAAAATCTATAGAATAATATGTCACAAAGACCATTATGCATTCCATTCATTCACCCGTACATTGCATGCAACTCTCAATGAGAACTAAAGATCATTTTTCCATAACTTAAAACCCAATATTCATGCAAGATCACATATTTATTAAAAATAAAGAGCAAAGGTGGTGGCTTTAATATTTTCTAATATCATGCATGAACTGAAATATCATTTACCCCTACATGCAAGCTTTTATACTCAAAGAAGCTATTAAATATAAAAAAAAATTAGATCTTATACTCGAAATTATCCTAGAGGGGGCTGAATAGAGTAATCAAATAATAAATATGTAATTAATGAAATTCAATGCAACACAAGACACAAATATAAAATTATGGCAATAAATAAGAGAGAGTAAGAGAATAGTTAGCCAAATTGCACACCGATGTGTTCACGAGGTTCAGTCCTCACGACCTACATCCCCGACCACCTCTCTCGATGGTAATTAATTCCCTAAACACACACGGTTTGGAAGCAAGAACTTCTTCACAACGATCTTCTCAAGATCTCATAATTCACACAATGATCTCCTCGAGATAAAGCTCTCCACATAATACAATAAGATTAAAAAAATTCTTACAGCAATCCTATAGCACGGATTAAGAGATGACAAATGAAGCTTGGGGTTGTGGATTTGAAAGTATAAAATCAAAATTGAGTAAGATGAAAGATTAAGCCCAAAACACACAAAAACACAAACTCAAGGGTTTTTTCTTGCTTGCTTAGTTACTAAATAATTAGGGGCTGAAAGATATATATAGGCACTTAAAACAATAGCCTAAAACCCAAGAAAATCACCAAAACCAACAAAATCCCTAAAATCCTAGAGTTTGGAAATATGACTGTTACAGTACTTTCGGTCGACCGGATGACCATGTTGATCGACCGACAATATGGCAGTTGGCAGACTAAAACATCTCGAGCTCATTCAGTCGACTGACCATGTTGTATCGGTCGACCAAACCTACATCATCGGTCGACCAAATATTGTGTGTCAGTTGACTGATGACCAACTGTCCGCATGGTCTATAAATAGACCTTCTGGCCGGTCGACCGACGGGTAAGACCCGGTCGACCGGAAATGGATAGTTCTAGACACAGGTTTTAAGTTGGAAATCTAATTTTTTAAATTCAAAATAAAATAACAAATAAATTCTAAAAATAGTTTTTGGAAATCTAATCTTGTATATGTTACTCTTAAATAGCTTTTCTTCATCAACTTGCCTCCACCTCCTTGTGTTAGACCTTAGAGGGGGGGGGGGGTGATTAGGGTCTTATGCTAATCTAATCCTATTAAATGCTAATTAAAATTAATTAACAAGTTATCCTAGTAAGTATGAAATACAACAAGTTATATGAGCTAGGATAAGCAATATGAACAATGAGATATATCCTATATGATGAAATATATATGCAAGGATATATAAACTAACACAAGGGTAAAAAATATGAAACAAGATAGAGGATGATATGAATAATGAGACAATGGCGATATGAGCAATGAGCACAAATATAAATAAACACCAAAGCACACTCAAACACAATCAAATGATCACGGAGTTCGGACCTTCCGTCCTAGGTCTCCGCTTCCCACTCCCGGGGAGAAATCCACTATCATAATCGGGTTTTCTACATTCACCCGAATAACGTTTACACCTCACAGTGTCAGTTTTCAACATTCACCGAACAATGTCACTCCTCACACTCGGTTTTCTAGTTAACCGAAAACTTCACAACACTCACAATGTAACAAATATAAATTTGTTCTCTACAAGAGATGAGAACTCAATTAAGCACAACTCAATGTTACAATCTCTCACAACCCTAATATACTATGTATGCAAATACAATAAGCTCAAAGTGGGTGTGTGTAACAATGAGTGAAATCAAATCAAAACTAAACTCAAAATAATATACTAGCTTAATAGAAATGATAATCAACAAATAATTATGAACAAAAGTTTTTTTTTTTGGTCAATGAATTAACGCTTTATTCATCTTCCAAGTATGTAAAGTGCTGTACATCAAAAAACCAGGGTTAATAACCTGGTAAACAATAGAAAATGCATAGTTACAAATTCACTATCATTTCCTTAATATGTGCAGGAAAATCATCATTCAAAATTCTGGTGAAGATGGATACTTTGATAGCACGGAAAAGAGTATCAGGAGTTCTTGCAATCCCCTGGAAAATCCTAACATTCCGCTCCTGCCAGATAAAGTAGACAGCCACAGAGAGAGCCATTCGCTTCAAATCTTTCTTGAATCCTTTACCTTTCAAGCAGCTAGAATACCAACTGCTGAGCTGAACCCAAGTACAAGATCTCCATGTGTATCCCAACCAGTCCATCACATTGTTCCACACTTCAGCCGAATATTGACATTCAAAAAACAGATGCTTGCAATTTTCAGGTTGCCTAGAACACAGGACACAGCAATTTGTGCTGAGAATTCTAAATCTGCACAACCTTTCTTGTGTGAGAAGCCTAGAATGGAAGGCTAACCAAATGATTATTGAATGTTTAGGGTAATTTAGTCTCCCCCAAGTAGTTTCAGACCAGTTTATTGCAGCAGAGGAATTGGTTAAGATATTATATACCAAAGATAGCCGAAGTTTACCATTGCTACTGCAGCTGTTAAGAATGTTCAGCACTTCATCTGCATTGCCATATTTTTCTAAAATCATGTTTCTAGTTTTGAGGAGTTGTTTCCACATCCAAGAGTCATTTACCCTCTGCTGCACTTGCCAAACATTTGAATTTTTTAGATAATGGCCATGGATCCATTTTATCCAGAGGATGTCTTTCTTCTGATGAATCATCCATAGCAGCTTCACAGCAGATGCTTGATTCCATACTTTGGCTGAAAATAGACCCAAGCCCTCCTTCTTCTTGTTCAGACAGACTGAATCCCAGGATATTAGATGGATTTTCTGTCCCCATAGAAATGCTGAGCAAAGCCTGTCAATTTTTTCAAGGATCTTAGTCGGTAGAATATAATTGCTGAACCAAAAGGTTTGTATCCCCAGTATGACTGATTTAATCATTTGAATTCTCCCCGCATAAGATAAACTTCTATTCTGCTGCCAGTTTTGAAATTGATTGGTAATTTTGTTTATAAGAGAAGAACATTCAAAGTGTGATATCCTTCTTGTTGTCAAAGGCAAGCCCAGGTATCTCATTGGTAATGTTCCCTCTGAAAAGCTCAAATATGTGCATATTTGTGCCTTTAAGTTATCTTCAACGCCACACAGATAGACTGCACACTTAGTGGGGTTTGCTTCTAGGCCTGAGACTTGACAAAAATCTTGTAAGCAAGTGTTTAGACTGATGATTGAGCTCATATCAGCTTTACCAAACATTAGTAAGTCATCTGCAAAAATCAGATGTGTTAGCTTCATTTTAGAACATTTTGGATGAAATTTGAATCTTCTGTCTTCCTTGAGCATCTCTAATCTTCTTGACAGGTACTCCATGCCTATCACAAAGAGATGGGGGGAGAGAGGGTCTCCCTGTCTCAGACCTCTGGCACCCTGGAAGTAACCATGCAAAGATCCATTAAGAGATAGAGAAAATTTAGGAGAAGTGATACACCCCAGAAGTGATACACCCCCAGATCCAGTCTGTCATTTTTCTAGGGAATCCTAAACCCTCAAGCATGGCCTTAATGAACCCCCAATTCATAGTATCAAAAGCTTTTCTTAAATCCACATTTATAATAGCTCTGGGAGATATATTCTTCCTTCCATAGTGTTTGATGAGTTCATGGGCTAGGAGGAAATTGCTAGAGATGAGTCTGCCTGAACCCCATGATATTCTGGATCCTGTTAGCAATAATCTTTGTGATGATTTTGTATATGATGTTGCAGCATGCTATTGGTCTGAAGTCAGATGCTGTATTTGGATTGAGGGTTTTAGGGACCAAGGTGATGGCTGTTGAGTTGAAAGCACCAAGTAATTTGCCTGTACTAAAGAATTCCTCAATTGCCTTGTATATGTCTTCATTAATGATTTCCCATGCAGCCTTAAAGAATGAGGCACTGAAGCCATCTGGACCTGGCGCCTTCCCATTTGGCATAGAAAAGACAGCTTGTCTAATTTCATCTCTGGTAAGAGGTTTGCTAAGCTCATCACGTTGAGTAGAGGATAGAATTGGCCCTTTAGAGATAACCTCAAGATCAGGAGGAGAAGTGTGATTAGTAGTTCCAAGCAAATTTTTGTAGTATTGGATAAATTCAGATATGATGCCTTGAGTTTCTGTAATCCTGATTCCATTTTCAGTATATATAGACAACACCCTATTGTGGTGTCTTTTATTTTTCATGACAGCATGGAAGTACTGGGTGCTCTTATCACCTTGCAATCCCCATTTAATATTGGCTTTTTGCTTGTAAAAAGAATTTTCACAGTCAAGAAGTTTTGTATATTTCCTGATATGCTCTTTTTCCCTGGCAATCAGACCTGGATTAAAGAGGTCAGAATTCAGTTGAACTTGGATATCATGCAGCTCTGCTTTTGCCCTTGATACCTGCTCACTAATGCTCATAAAGTGTCTTTTGTTCAGCTCTTTAAGCACAGGCTTTAGATTATTGAGCTTGCTTTTAACTTTGTACATGTAGTATCCAGGAATGTGCTGATTCCAGACTGACCTGACTGCTGGTAGAAAGTCAGGGTGTTTAGTCCACATAGCAAAGAATTTAAAAGGTCTCTTGCCTCCACAATTCATATCTTCACCTATTGTTAGCAATCCAGGGGAATGATCAGAGCAGTGTGGCATCAGATATTCAACCTGGCTTGATGTATATTGGAAAATCCAGTCATCATTTACTAGAATTCTATCCAACCTACTCCATACTCTAGTAGAAGCATCCTGTTTGTTACTCCAGGTGAAAAAACAACCAGTGGATTTAATATGCTTTAATTGGCTTGTATCAATGAAATTCTGAAAGTCCTCAATCTCTGCATCTGTAATATGAGCCCCACCTATCTTCTCTTCACTACTGAGAATGGCATTGAAGTCCCCTCCTACTAACCAGGGATCTGAAACATTCCAATTCCAATCTTTGAAAACTTTTTTAGCAATGATCTTCATTTTCTCCATGGACATTTTGGTTTCTAGAAGAGCAATAAATGAGATTTTATAATCCTGAATGAACTGCTTGACTATCAAGTGCTTAGAGGATTTGTTAAATCCTCTAATGTTCCAAAAAGCCAAATGCATTTATTGGAAGAGACCACCCCTTTCATTACTATAGGGGTCTAAATCAAGTATCTGGTGCTCCAAACTTGAGAATCTTGATGGACAAATTGAATTACCTGCCTCAATAAAATTAGTTCTCTTAGCTGCATTAGCTCTGGTAACACTAGTGAAACCAGCAGTGTTGATGGTGGGAGAATAATGAGCAGAGACACTAGATGAACCTCTTGATAAACCAGCAAGACCTTGAGTGGCAAAGCCAAATATGCCTGGTTTTCCAGCAGCTTCAGATGTAGGTTGCTGTGTTATAGTATCAGCTTGAGTCTGTGCACGTTTCTGTGCATGTTCTATACTTGAGCTTTCAGTAACCACAGAGGAGTGAGGTAACTGGATATCAACATCAATAGCATCTTTAGCACTTGAGTTTAAACTCCTGTCAACAACCTTATGCTGGGGACTTTTTGCTTTTGTATTTGTGTTCTCAGAATGCTCATTTTGCCTGTTAACAGGAACCTTCTGCATTGATCAGTTTCATGGCCAAGTTTGTTACATGATGTGCACCACCTTGGCTTGAACTCATATACCACTTCCTGTGCATAACTTCTACCATCAGGATCCTGGATGATTACTTGATCAGGTAAGGCATCTTTCAAGGGCAAATTTACTTCTATCAAGACTCTTGCGTAGCTTAACCTTTGTCTAGTAGCAATAAGTTTATCAGTAGATATAGGTTTACCAATGAGGCTGGCAACCTTACTGATTCCAATTGAACTCCAGAGGTTAAGTTTCAGATTAGGGAATTGCACCCAAAGTGGATAGGAAAAGTCTTGGATCTTATCCAAATCAGTATCAATAGTCCAGATCTTCAGCATCAGAGGCCTAAGAGGCCAAAAAACCAGGGGCCAGCATCTAGTATTCCTTTCATCTGCTTCTCAGTTTGGAAATCAAAGAGGAATACACCATTCTTGATTAAAGACACTTTAGGATAAATAGTTTCCCCAATCTCTCACATATGTTTCAATTGATTTAAATTTAACATTCAAACAATAACATGTCCTATTAAGGCATTTCTCCATAGATCTTCCCCTTCTTTCCATTCATCAGTAGTAAAAGAGGCAGTTTTTGATTGAGAGGATGGTAATATAACTCAGGGACAGCCATTTACCTGATTCCTGTTATCAGCAAACAAGCTCGCAAAGGTTTTACTAGGTTTGGATCTGATTTTTCCAAATTTTCAACATTGCCAGTAATTTTATCCCCTTCTCCAGGTTTCAGCTTACCAGAAATCTCCTGATCAGGAGATTTAGTACTCACATATTAGCAATTCATCTGAATCCATAGATTTAAACAATGGAACAGTAAGAGTATCAGAATCAACTCTAGAAATCTCCTGATCAGGATTAAAGATCATTTGAGGATTTAGGTTTTTGAGTCTGATAAGAAGAAGAAATAGGGAAAAACCTCCGATTCAACCTCATCAGCCCAAGGAAGCCTCTAGAGGCTGCCGGCACCATCACTGAGATATCGAGCTGAGTTCCTTTCTTTGTAGAGAACTATGGATCGACTAGAACCAGTAAGAAATCTGAAGATCGAAGATATCCTCCATGGATTTCTTAAGTTTTTCACCTTTTGGACCTGTCGAGCCTATTATATCTTCAACAGAGTTCATCATCTTCCTCAAAATTATTTCGATATTGATCCTCAAGAGCTTGAGAACAAGAGGTTGAGGACCGTAGACAATGCTGAGCAGCTTCTTTCCACTCTTGATGTCTCTCTTCGCCATTAGAAACCTAGCGGGGGCGCACGATAGAGGAGAGGAGATCGCCTTCTATCTTGCGCCTTCAGACATCCCGCCCTTTGTAGAGAAGCTCGAAAACTTTTCTAGATGATAAAAGAGAGAGAGATGGATTGAAGCTCAATGAATTGATCTCCTCTTCCTCTTATGAAATTCTTCACAAACCGAACCCTTAAACAAACTTAAAACCAAACTTAAACTCTTTTAAAACTTTCTTAAACTTGTTTAAAACATTCTCATTCTTAGATGGAGAGCTGAAGGCAATGGGGTATTTATACCCACTCAAAACTTTAGCAAAAACCCCACTAAAATGACAACAAAGCCCCCAGAAAAACAGCTCAGAAAATAGTCGTTGGAGTCCAACGATCATATCGGCGGTCGACTGTGAAGAACAAAAAGCGGTAGAACTGTTTTGGACAAGCGACGGTCGACCGCGGCGATCGACCGCGAAACTATCTGGACTCGCTACGGTCGACCGTCACGGTCGACCATGAGCCATAAAAACATATAATGAGTTTCTGAACTCATCGACCGCGAACAGATACTACAGAAAAACAGGTTTGAAAACAGATTTTTTGACTTTTGGAAAATTGTTAAAAATAACAAATGAAGTTAAAAAAATTATGAAACTTTGGGAAATGTATATAAACATGTATATGAGCATGTTACAAAAAGAATTTTCCAAATTGCATTTCCCATTTGTGAAAAATCAACATTTCACAAAAATAGTCCAAAACACGAAAATGTAAACATGTGAATTTTGACATTTAGGCTAAACTATGTTTTGAAACTTTGCACAATGATTATGTAGACTTAATAAAATGTGTATATGATTTTTGTTAAGTCCAAAAACTAAGAATACAAAATTTTCACAAAATTGCATATTCTATGCAATATTTTCAAAAACACAATAGTAAATATAAAATATGTGATTTCATATTATAAACATGAAAACCCAAAACCATGCATGTATATAAATGTATATAACTATATATATGCATAGAAACCAAAACTTATGTATATATATATAACTATATATATATACAAAGAAACCAATAAATGTGTGTGTATAGATATTGAGCTTAACGTACTTAACACACATAATATAAAACCTAAACTAAGATTACTCAAGCTTGGTCTTGATCTTCATTGTAGCTCAACTTGGTACACATACGGATGAAGCTTGAACTTGATCTTTAACTTTGAATTGCAAGGCTTCAACCCGACATTCCGCCAACCTTATTTGGATATGATCGTTGAAGCTCTATTCCATCCATCCTCCAACTATGTTGTTTGTCTATAATAAATAAGAAAACACAAATACTAGACAAACAACATTAGTGATAAATTGTTTGTTAAACATCATCAAAACAAGAAGGCCAACAATCTCCCCCTTTTTGATGATGACAAACAATTTACAAAAATAGATATATGCATGAAGGAAATGAATATATAATTTATAATTCACATGCATATAAACAAGA